ACACACACACACACGCACACACACACACACCGACCCCATTCGCCCGTAGCCCCTGCGTCGTCACCTGCGCGCCGGGGTCGCTCCGTGCGAGGCCGCACAGCTGCATCAGCTGCTGCGTGTGCAGTGCGATCTGGTGGTGGAGAGCCTGCACCTGGCAGCGGCGCAGCAGCAGCTTCTTCGGACCTGCAGGCAGCTGCCGCTGCTGCTGCTGCATCGGAGGCTGGGGCGGCGGCGGCGGCAGCAGTATCAGCTGCCGCTGCTGCGTCGCCTGCCCCGCCCCGAGCGGAATCCGCTCGGCGCCGCCCGCCGCGAGGCCCGCCTGCTGCGACTGCGGCGGCTGGGGCGGCAGCGGCGGCGCGGGCGGTGCCGCGCCGGCCGAATGTGCCATTGCCTGCTGGAGTGCGTGCCTCATGGGACTGTTGGGTAAGGGCGCCAGGTCAGCGCTGCTGCAGGCCGCCCTGGCCTGCTGCAGGGCGGCCAGCACGCTCACGTGCTCCTGCTGCTGCTGCTGCTGCTGCTGCTGCGGCGGCGGCGGCGGCGGCGGTCCCGGCGGCGCGAGCGCGATGGCCAGCAGCTGCTGCGCCTGCTCAGGCGGCAGCGCGAGCAGCTGCTGCTGCAGCGCGGGCGGCAGGAGGGGCAGCTGGGCCGCGGCAGGCGCCGGCGCCTGACCCAGCTGCAGCTGCGGCAACGGCATCGGCATCGCCAGCGTCGGCAGCTGCCACTGCAGGTGGGGTGCAACTAGAGTGCTCCCGAGCGGGCCCGACGGTGCCGGCGCCCCGCCAAGCGGCGCGTTGAATGGGGCAGGAGGGCCATTGCCCCGACCCCCGGCCGCGCCGCCGCCTGCCTGCTGGGAGGGAGGCGCGCCCGCGGCCGAGCGAGCCACATCGTCAGCTGTTGCTTTCGCTGAGAGATCCACAACGGGCGGTTGGCCAGGCAACGTTGGTGCCACGGGCATGCCCGCGGCGGTTGAAGGGATCATCATCGGCCCCTCCGCCTCTGATGCGGGTGGCGCGGCGCTGCTCCCTGACAGATGCGATCGCAGCGCTCGCACCGGCGACGCCGTGGCGCGCGCCGCCGCGGTGCCGACGGCGGCGGCGGCGGCCTCTGCGCTCGCGCCGCGGCGGGCCCGGCGCGGCGTGCGGCGC